CCAGTGTTAGAGGTTGATAAGGCCAACATTTGAAGAACTGTCTATAATATTGGAGTCCCTGAGAAGAGTGGAGGATTCAGACTTGTATCTATGGCAGAATATGAATACTTTTCTAGAATGAATTGTCCCTTTCCCTTAATCCCTTCATTTGATTGCATGAAGATCATTATCTTATGAAGTGTTCATTACTTTACTCAAAGTCTGCAATTAAATGACATTTATAGAATATCTGCATAGCAACTAGTATTTTTCAAACATTAGCTAAACCCACTTGATACATGAATTAATCACCACATAGAGTGTAGACATCTGAGGAATAACTCAAGCAAAGATTTCAAACTAATTCTGTCATTTCTTTTTAGAGTTTATAAACATTTTCATCGTATCTTTCTATGCACCAATATCAATAACGTTTGCTGGATTAAAGCATGAGGAAATGATTTGGAGTCATTAGAATTGACCAATTAGAATGAAGTCATGTGGAATTTTTCCTGCATACAGTTTGCAATTTGTGGGAAGATAGCTTAAAGAAGTAATCAAAGTATTAAGTGCATGGGACATGTATAGATGCAGTGGAACATAGTTGAAGGTCATACTATGGGGAGACAGAGCATTGATAAAGAGTGAAATCAAAGTGTCAATGTGAGATCATGTGGGAAATACCTTTTGCATGCATGAAATAATGAAACAGCATTAGTGTCCCTGACAGGAGCTTTCTCCTTTCCTCAGAGCAACAGTGGTAATCAGAAGAATAAATCAGACAAGATATGTTGGAACATCTTTCTTAGGATGCCACAGTGTAAATGAAACAAGTTGAAGTAGAAGAGAAGGTTCAGGAGATGTGAGAACATGAACACACACTGAGTCTGCTTCTGTACTCCAGTAAAGACAAGATGTGATCCTGATTTATGGGTATAACCTCACAGTAAGAGATGGAGGGAATAGGAGGAGAATGAAGAGGAGACTCTATATAACATGTGACAGTAGTTCAAGGTAAAAAAAATGAATGGATTGAAATTCACAGGTTTCTGACTCAAACATGAATTTCTTTTACTATATTGTGGAATACTATAATATAGTATGGACAGGTAAGTAACTGAGGAATGCTTTAGAAGACAACAAATTGAAGAAGTAAATTTCACTTAGGGCTTTTGAGCTCCTGATACCTGTCATTCATGCAATGGAAGGAAGATGATCAATTAGCAGTGGAGCAGAAATCTGTATGCTACAGAGACATGTATGCCTGAGGTTCACATGGTAATCTAAGGCATTAGAGTATGTGAAGTTTCCTTGAAGTTATGTAAAATAATGATGATAAAGTTATTCAAATTCTTCAAGAACATCATATA